CATGTAGACAGTTGCAAGTCACGTACAGTCTAATAAAAAAATGCCAAAACTACGTGTTAGAATATTAGAAATTATTCGTTAAAAATTCCTTGTGACTGAGAAAAACTGGTCGAATACTTTTATAAACCTTACTCCTCTGTAATTATTATTTTCTCTAAAAGTTTATTGCATCAAATGTTGGACACAGCTTTTTGTTACATGTCTTAAACTTTTGGTAGAGATTTTACGGCTCATACAACCTTAAACATCTGTTTCGATTGTGCGTATGTACGCACGTCAGTTTGGAAGGTGCGTAAGAGAAGATAGCGTGTTTTTATCTCTTGACAAACAGTAGATAGAAGACGGGAACCGTTACACGAAATAAGTGAAAGTTTAGTCCGTTATCCACATCAAAGGAGCACCATTTCGTTGACTATTTCGCTCTTCGTTTAGCACCGAGGGAACGAGTTTGCGCGATTAATCGTAGATGTAATTTCCTTGTTTACGCGCCGCCTTCCACTTGCCCGAGAGCCGACTCGGCCTGAGGAATCCTCTACGCGCTCGTAAGACACTTTCGTTCCTCTTGAACTCTCGAAATTACATTTCAGATAATTAAAATTCATGAGGTCAATTTCAACTAGGAAGTAAACTATGAATGAGCCTTGAAGAATTAAGTGATAAAATAATTTCACATTCAATTTCGTTTTGCAAAATTCGTGGACGGTAAGAGAAGTTTAAATGAAAAACGCGTTCATTTTCAGTAATCAGAGCAGTTTGGTCACTCATTACACAGAGAGAAAAAAAGAGAGAGAGAGAGAGAGAGAGAGAGAGAGAGAGACGAACGATAGAATTAAATTCCTAAAGGAAAATCACGAGTTTTGATAATTAATATTATACGAAATATTAAATTTTTCTCACTCGAGCCGTGACCTTCCTCGCTTGCGACGATTGGTTTCCCGCGGTTTCTCACTAGTTTTCAAGCAGCGGACGTACGCGCGTCGCGTCGCGCTCGCGACTGTTTCAAATTCCCGGCCGTTGCACGAGATCGTGATTGTGCGAACGCAACGCGACGGATGCCATGGCGTTACGCCTCTCACGGCGGGGATAATTCAGGCACGGTGTCACATAGCCAGGGTATACGCGTGTCACTCGGCTGGACACGCGTATTTCCGCGGAGCCTCGACTCCTGCAATCGTTGCAATTCTTTTTCCCGAGCGAGTCCCACTTTTTCCTCTCTGTTACACTTCGCGTTTATAAAATTTATACCAGTTCGAATTTATTCGAGAAATTTCGTAAATCCTTACGCTTTTCCAAATTTTATAATATAATAACTTTTTAATTTAATTTTATCAGTTTTTGTTGATTTATTCTGCAGAATAATAT